GGAAGATTATTCACAATTGCAATCCAAGCATAAGTTGTGGTAATCCATTCTCTACTTGGTTTTGCAGGAAAATGAGTGATATGATATGAAAGTCTTGCTTTGTTGTTAGATCGTTAATGATCATTGATTAGAAGTACGTACATAACAGGGCTGGACAGACCCAGTGGAAGGAGGATATTTTCCTTGGTTGGGGAGTCTAAAACCAGGGGACAAAATCTCAGGCTAAGGGGTAGATCATTTAAAACTGAGATAAGGAATAATTTTCTTCATTCAAAGGGTAGTGAAACTGTGGAATTTCCCCATCACAGAAGACTGCGAAGGACAAGTCACTGAATATGTTTAAGAAAGAGATAATTTTATAGCTTTTAAAGGCATTGTGGGGTATGGAGAGAAAGCAGAAATTGAGATAGAGGACAGGCCATTTCATATCGAATGGCCAAGTAGGCTAAAGGACCAAATGACCTACTTTGTTTATACTTTCTATGTTGCTAAGCACCATACATTCTTCTGGAATGTGGAAGGTGGGTGTTATATAGGTCATTCCACACTTAGTACATATATTTTGAAATGGTTTGTCAGTGAACCATATGCCATTGACCAACACTATCCAACCCAAGATAGACAAATTGGAGGGAACAGCTCCTGCAGAACACTGACAAGGGAGGGGTGGAGAAGATACGTTTTGTGATGGCATCCTGCTGAAGATGGTAGAGGATGATCCTTTGAATGCAGAGACTGGATGGATGGAAAGTAAGGGTAAGGTGAAACCTCTCATTATTCTGAGAAGGAGGGGAAGAGGGTGAAGACAGAAATGTAAGAGATGCATTGGACAAGGCTATCCTAGGTTGAGGAGAAAGGAAACCATGTCGGAAGCATGTCTGTGAAAACTGGAATCACTGGAATGCTACTTGGACAGAGAAATTGGGAGAGTGGCATAGAGTCCTTACAGGGAACAGCATCATCAAGATAACTGCAGGAGTTGGTGGGTCTGATATTGGTGGACAGCCTATCCCTAGATATGAAACAGAGAAATTAAAGAAGGAAAGAGTCATAAATGGACTTAATTGTGGTGAAAGAAAGTTGTAAATTGAAAACGAAATGGATGAGAGCCAGGAACAGCACCAAAGATGTCATTAGTATAGCAGAGCTAGAGGAGTTATGGATGAAGGCTGAAAAGGACTGGAATAAGGAATGATCCAAATACCCCATAAAGTGACAGGTATGAATGAAATCTTTTACTTAGAGCTGGTGAAACAAGTTAAAAGGAGAAATTGTTCAAAATGAAAGTGAGCTGAGCCAGGTGAAGGAGAGTGGGGGTGAATGGAGACTGTTCAGGTTGCCTTTTGTGGAAGAAGCAGAGAGCCTTCACACCATCCTGATGTGGAGAGAGATTGCACATCTTTGGTAAAGAGGAGGCAGCAAAGGCCAGAAAACTGGAAATTGTGAAACTGACATGAAGAATCACAAATGTAAGTAATGAGAGGCTGTACACTGCAGGGGAAAATAGGGTCAAGATAGGAAGAAATGTGTTCAGTTGGGCAGCAACAGGTTGAAACAATGAATTGGTACCTGTTTGTAAATTTTGTAGAGGCAGTCTTTTTCAATGATGTGGGAATTCATGAACCAGGGGAGATAGGAAGAAATGTCTGAGAGTTGGCACTCAGCCTCTGCTATTTGGAGGTTAGTGTGCCAAACAACAACAACTCCACCCATATCAGAAGGTTTGCTTATAAAACAACAGGCTCAAACCTGAAAGAATGGAGTGCAGAGAGCTTGGAGGGAGACAGGATAAATTTTAAGGGAGCAGAGAAATTCAGGGAGCTGATGTCATGTTGTCAGTTCTCAACAAAGAGTTAAAGTGTAAATAACAAGCCAGAGGGATGAGCCCAGGTGGAAGGACAGTGAAAGATCTTTGGACAGGGGAAAGGACTCCTATCCAATGAAGTGAGCATGGAGGCAAAAGCAACAGAAGAAGAGTTCATAAGACCATAAGACATAGGAGCAGAATTTAGGCCATTCAGCCCACCAAATCTGCTCTGCCATTCAATCATGGCTGATAAGTTTCTCAAACCCATTCTCCTGCTTTCTCCCTGCAACCCTTCAACCCCTTGACAATCAAGAACCTATCTATCACTGGCTTAATTATACTGAATGAGCAGGTCTCCACAGCCTTCTGTGGCAATGAATTCCCTGGATTCACCATTCTTTGGCTGAAGAAGTTTCTCTTATCTCCGTTCTAAAGGGTCTTCCCTTTACTCTTAGGCCATGTCCTCGGGGCTGAGTCTCTCCTGCCAATGGAAACATCTTCCCAACGTCCACTATGTCCAGGTCATTCAGTATTCTGTAAGTTTGAAATAGATCCCCATTCATCCTTCTAAACTCCATCACGTGTAGATCCAGACTCCTTAAACATTCCTCATTTCTTAAGCCGTTCATTCCTGGGATGATTGTCATTATACTCCTTTGGACCCGTTCCAGGGCCAGTACATACTTCCTAAGGTATGGGGCCAAAAATCACTCAGAATACTCTAAATGTGGTCTGACCAGAGCTTTATAAAGCTTCAGAAGTACATCCCTGCTTTTACATTCTAGTCCTCTTGAAATAAATGCCAACAAAGTATTTGCCTTCCTAACTACCAACTCAACCTGCCAGTTTACCTTAATAGAATCCTGGACTAGGACTCCCAAGTCCCTTTGCACTTCAGATTTCTGAATTTTCTCCCCATTTAGAAAATAATTTATGTCTTAATTCCATGTTGTGTCAGAATTTATTGAGGTGAGGGCATAGAGAGAGAGAGAGATAATATTAAATCCTTTGCTGATCATTTAGTATCAGAGACGAAGAGATCAGTGAGTATAGTGAATAACTGACAAGAGGTGGGATTAGAAGAAGGGATTTAGATTTATTTAATATTGTCACTTGTACCTAGGTACAGTGAAATGTGTATAATTGCCACAGTCTGGCACCATTTTGGATTTCAGAATAAATGACTGAATAAATTGTACAAATGGTAAAGCACCTACTAAATTAATATGAATTTGATACTACTGAGGCTGAACAGCTTCAAAAGTTCATCTTTCCCTCTCCGTAGCTGTCATCTCTCTGCTCCTCCAGTCGCCAATGTCTGATATTGTCCCTGGGGTCCTGGAAATGTGCTTCTTTTTTGCCACCACCAGCGCCATCGCTTCCCCATGTGCCACCTCCGAGCTGGGGATGGTCGTGCTGCTCAGGTTTCACACCTCCTCCGACGCTGGGCATCGGCTGACGGGTCCTGGCTCTATATCGACCAATGGGGTCCTGGCTCATCTTCTGATGCTACCACCTAAGATGGAGCGGGGATGGAGTTATAAGGGGCCCTGGCCTCCCACAGGAAGACATCAGAAGGAGCCCCAGGGCAACCAAAACCAAAAATAAATGTTACTGAGATGAAAACACAACATTGAAGCCGAGTGGATGTGGCCAGACCCGCCACATGAGCCCAAGAGCAGCCAAGATCCGCGTTCATGAGCCGAATGCTGCTGTCCCCAATGTCTCCATCTTGGATTGGATGTGTTATGAGAAGACAACGAATCCAGAGAGGTGTTAGTATCTGATAACACTGTGTGGAGCTGGAGGAACACAGTAGGTCAGGCAGCATCAGAGGAAAGCGGACATTTTTCTGAAGAAGGGTCCTGACCTGAAATGTTAACTTTCTTACTCCTCTGATGCTGCCCGGCCTGCTGTATTCCTCCAGCTCCATACTGTGTTATTTCTGACTCCAGCATCTGCAGTTCTTACTATCTCTGAGGTGTTTGTACCCGAGAGTTTTTGGAACGTGTATTCCTTAAAACTTGAAAAGAAGAGAAAACAGTTTCTTTTTTGGGGTGTTGAATGCAATTTAGAATGAAATGGAACTGGAGACCGGGACAGCCTTGAAATTTCATTACAGAGAAGTCAAGATTGTGCATGTGTGGCACAAGGCACTGGGTGTGGATCTTGGGGGTTTGCATTCTTAGGAGTCCTGAAATGAAGAGAAAAGTTTTTTTGTTAAATCTTCACTGGTCCTTTTCTAATACTGTTAGATTATCACTGGATAATTATCTTTTGCAATTCCTGAAGTTACTTATCTGTGGCAGTTGCTGGTTGCCCTGTTTACACTGGCCCTGGCCAAAGTTCAATTCACAGAACATCTTCAGTTTTGCAGCCAAGAGGCCAAGAGGAATATTTTGGTTTTTACTTATGTCAGACATCATCATTTTGGTAGCTAGCTTGTATTTCACTTCAAAGTCATACCATTGCACCCTGACACGTTGACTCTGCAATAGTTAGCAGTTCGGAGCAGGTCATTCTAATGATGTACGATCTATTTCAATGGTAAGTTTCATGCTAATTAACAATGTTTGCAATTGCATAATGCCAAATATCTAATGTGTCATGCTCTATCTTGGCATAGTTGTTTTGCTCAGATATCAATTTTTAGAAACCAAAAGCTAAAGGTTTTTCACCTTGTAAAAGACATGCACCCCGACCTTCTTGTAATGCATCCACTTTAAGAACCAAGACTTCCCTTTGGTCATAATATTGCAGTAGTCAAGATATTGTTGACAGAACCTGCTTGTGAGAACAAAAAAAACTGGTGGTCAAAAATCTGACACAATGTCACAAATCCTCTTTGTCCTGCAGAGTAAGCATTTGTTTAACAGTTTTAATCTTCCCTGGATTGGCATGGACTTTGTGGAAACAGTAATTGGACCTCAGGAAGTTTATCCGACAGATTTTGAATGGAAACTTCATGTAGTTAAATAACAATCCATGCTGTTGTGTGGCTGCCTTCAGTAAGTGAAGGTTGTTGTTTTCTCTGCCTTTGTCTTGCACATAACCATGGTGTCATCAGCTCTGCAAATACAGCTGGGTATATTCTCAATTGTCTTAAAATTGCCATTGCTTGTATCAAACTGGGAACAGCTGTTTAAAATTGTTGACATATTCAACTACATCATTTGTATGCAGTTCTGCCATAGTGGGGTGGCTTCAAACTCTGGTTTGTGACTACAACTAAATCTGTGCATACTGGGAGCCCTGTCACTGTTGGACCATTGGTATTTATAAGGTTAGAAGATTTTTGGAATCCAAGATGAGTTTGTGTATTTGCACTACACTGTGATTCTGTAAATGCATGAAATTGATAATCTGTTACATGCTGTAAGGTAGTTTCTCTCTCTCTCATAGGCCATATAATGGAAAGCCACTTGCTGTGGTACAAGTCTTTCAGAATGCAAAGTGTTATTATGTTGACGCTAGCTGTTGTGTTGATTTTGTCCTTTAACATATGTTGTTCTGCTTTTTCAGGACCTCTGATATTCGTGGTTGCAAAACCTTATACCGTTGACATGGTGTGCGAGGGTAAGAATATGGAAAGTTTGGTCATTTTCTGAAATTTGACTTTTGCTTGGTTGGTTTTGAACTGCACTAATTTTTTTCCAGTTGTATATCTCATAACACTTTCCTTGCTACCCATGCTGTGGCATTACACCATCCTTTTGATAATCTGTGTTTTGTTCTGAAATCTGGCTTGGCCTTTAGAACCAAATTTTCCATATTTCTTCATGATATCAAGAAAAACTGGACAGTATTTGAGTAGGAATGACAAATTGCATCTGTTAAGAATTTTGTTGGTTTGGTGTTTTTTGCTTTTTCTTTCATTCTTGCATGGGATATGAGTATCACTGGTGAACCTGACATTTTTTGCCCATCTCTAATTGAACTGAAAGGATAGCTGGGCAATTTCAGACAGAAGTTAAGAGTCAACAACATTACAGTTGGCCTCACCTTGTATGTAGTATTGAAGATTTCTTCCCTAATGGAGATTAGTCAACCAGATAGATTTTTACAACAATGGACAGTTGGACGAGCTTTTAATTCCAGATTTTATTGAATTCAAATTTTGCCATCTGCCCTGGTGGTATTTGAAACCATACCCCAGAACATTTTCATGCTTGCTTGGACCTTTGAATTACTAGCCCTGTGACATTGCCAGTATGACCCACTTCCCAACTAGTTTCAGCAATAATGTTGGCTATACCTAAAGTAGTTAACTGTCTTTATGACTTCTACACTCAAGTCATGTGTCAATGACTTTTTTCTTGCCCAGAAGATCCTTCTTAAAGTCTTTAATTGGTGCAGAGGTGATGACTATTTCAATGATCCTCTCTGACTGTTCCTCTTCAGAAAAGTCACACCCATTCCCTTTAAGCAGCATCTTCTAACAAACTAGTCAATAGACTCTTTGGGTTATCATTTGTCTGATATGAGTGGGATAATCAAGAAGTTAATACTTACCTTTAGTTGATCTTTAAAAGGTTTCTAGATTTTTTTCTGCATCTTTCTGATCATCAATGGAAAGACAGAACATATTAATTCTGTGAATCTTCTTCATGATAGTGGCACAGTTATAATTCAGAGAAGGTGTCACTGGGTGTCCAGTCCATAAGTATTTCCCTTCCATTTCTCTTTACAGGGTTTTTTTAAGAATTGGAGTGAAATGAAGCTTTTATTTATTTCTTTTACTCATTATGCTTCTTCCTGCTTTTATTTTTCCTTTTTATGGTCTTGTTTTCCTTTATTTTCCCTGCTGTTGCTCCATTAGTTGTTGTCCCTTCAAATAAGCTTCTTCAAGAATTGCAAGCTAGCAGTTGCCTGTTTCTGCCCCTAGGTGGTGCACACAATGAATAAAGAGTGATGATGTCACTTGGGTCTGTCCCTATTTTTGCGCCAACTTGAAGAAAGTAAAAGAACGAACCAAGGCACAGAGTGAACATGTCTTCCCATTGCAGATAGCCACTTTTTAGTATTTTAAAGATATATTTTCTCCTAAGAGGGCTTTAAAAAAAATAGATCAGCAGGCTCTCAGGTTTTTTTTAAAGAGAGGAAGAGAAAGGTTGAATGCTCATATTGCTGGTCATTGCCTAAGTACAGATCTGTACTCTTTGATGCTGCTGATTATCTAACTTCCATAGCTATTGTTCATTCGATCTTTAATTAGTTTTCTAAATTTCTACTGCTGAGACCTTGGAGATTTTTATTTAAACAGATGGTCATCACTGCAAACCACAACTGAAGTCTTGCTACCAGTAGGTTACTTCACCTAATGCGGTCATTCTTAACTTATCTCTCCTAATATAACAAACCAGACTGTGGATACCGTGTATATTGAAGAATGCAATAATTGTTTATCACAATGAGCTAGTATATATAAACACTACATTTAGAGCAGCATCCTTTCAAAAGTATGTCATGCTTTATTTGATCCAGTCCTGATGAAGGGTCCAGACCTGAGACATCGACTTTCCTTCTCCTCTGATGTTGCCTGACCTGCTGTATTCCTCCAGCTCCACGCTGTATTGATTCTGACTCCAGCATCTGCAGTTCTTGCTATCTCCTATGATGGTATGCCAGATCTTAATACCCCTAAGTCACATGCTATCATACTGGGATAATATCATGAGCACATCTCTTAAAGTTATACTGACCTACTAACTATGTGACATAGCACAACATTGAGAATTACATTACCTGTCATTATCCTTCATTCTTTCTGGTCACATATGCACCCATACCTGTCTGGTGAATTTATTGTCACTACAGCACTGAGAACATCCCAAATCCTCAGAGATCTATCACAAAAATTGAACTAAATAAAAATCCAATGATTTATTTTCCCACACCCTCCATTCTAATAGAACATGGATCTAGCAAATTCTGTATCCTTTATCTGTTTTCCACTTTAGCACAAGATTTGTTCTGTGCTTGAGTTTTGTTTCTATGATGTTGATGTGACAGAGCACCTTCAGGTCAACATGTTCTAACTGTACTAAGATCTACATTTTTTATGTTATTTTCTTTCATTCAAAGAGGAAAAAAATAATATGAAATTAATCAAATGATGCTGCCTTAGTAAGTACTATAAATCTTCACATTAAGTGTGGTCTAACAAAGCTGAAAACTGCAAATGATCAAGCAGGATTTGGTTGGTTAAATTCCAATAACCTACAAAAATCCCATTCCCATAGATACAAAGAGTTAAGTTATGTACTCAGCTTTAGTTTTTATCTCTTACCTTTCTAGAAATAATAATGGCATAACAAGGCCACAATCAGCAGAAAATTGAAAGCAGTATGTTTCTTCAGAACTCAACTTACAGATAAATGATCAGGGTCATTTAATTAATTCTTGCAAAACCTGATCTCTCAAAATACTCTCAATGTCCATACCCTTAGATTGAGTACATGATAACTGGCTGTGTGAAACCACTGAGAGATGATTAAGCCCATGTACTGCAAAATGGTGTTGAACACAAATAAATCCACGATGACACATATTTCTATTTGCACCGCTCTTGAAACTTCTATCACAGAGACAGAAGATTGCATTTACCAGAGAGTGAATACATGATAGAATTTCTGGACAATGAGTGACGCATTATAGAGTTTATTTCCTCATTTATTTGTGCAGATGTTCACTGCATAGCGCCAAAATTAGTTTTAGGTGAAGCAATCCTCTATTCAAATTTATTGACCACAAACACCATGACAATTGTAGACATGTGAATAGGATCAACAAAACAACCCAAGTTACTTTCAAACATGAAGTTAACAAACTAAATCAGTTATATACTTCTGTAGACTTGTCATGGCTTAACAACATCTTGAGGTCATAAATGTCATGGTATAAATGTTATTTCTTTCTTTTTTGTCAACTATACGAAAAAGATTTGAGATTTTTAAAATATAGCCACTATATTTATTGGAGTCCAAAAACCAAATATCACAAACGGATTGCAACTATAATTGCCATTAATAGGTATAGAACACAGCAAGTAGTTAGCACATGGAGTGAACTAATTAAAAGAGTAAGAATTTGTACGTCAGAATTCTTGACTTCACAGCATCTCAAAATAGTTCACATTTTTTAGTTGAATTCATGTTCGAGTGTATGAAATGCAGCCACTACTTTGCATTGGGCAACATTCTACAAACAGCAATACAACAAATGACCAGGTGAGCTGTTTTGGGTAACTAGGAGACAGAATGGACTGCAGATGCCGAAGTCGGAGTCAATAAAATGTGGAGCTGGAGGAGCACAGCATTTGAGGAGCAGGAAAATCAATGTGTCGGATCTGGACCCTATCAAGCTGTTTTGGGTGTTAGTTGCACTTTTAAATTTTTAACACTGGCAGACATTGAAATAGGCCCCTTTAAAAAAATCAATAAATTCTTTTTTAAATGGTAAATTCTATCTAACATACTGCTGGAAATTTTAAATGATAAATTTCTGCAGGAGAAAATTTCTACAGTAATTACCCAAATTGCAATTTCATTGGAACATCAACAGAGAAACTTTGAAGAAATTGTTGTACAATGGTGTTGATTCCAGACCAGGTAGGCTGTACATTTCAGACAGTTACATGACATGAAAGCATATGATTTCTGGTATAAAAGCACCTTCTTCACCTTCAGTCACTCTCCTGGTGTGGAGTGAAGGCATTGCAGTCAGCCAGCGATGTCTGTGCAATGTATAATAACATTATTAAGGACAGATTTTGCATGTGAGTCTATGATATTGGAGCCTTGTAAATAGTTGGTATTGTAAACAATTTCAAGACTTCTGTATCACAAGAGCCCAACTGTTTGTGACCTATGTTACATACGCTTTTTTAAAAAAATTCATTCATTTGATGTTGATGTCACTGGTTAGGTGCACATCCCTAATTGCAATGAAAAATGTGGTGACAAGCTACCTTCTTGCACCACAACAGTCCTATGCTGTAGAGACACCCATAGAGCTGTTAGACAGGGAGTTCCAAAATTCTTACTCAGCAACAGTGAAAGAACAGTGAAATAGTTTCAATCAGGATAGTGTATGCCTTCAAGGGGAAGTTGCGGGTGATTCCGTTCCTATGTATCTACTGTTCTTGTGCTTCTAGTTGGTAGCGGTCACAGGTTTAGAAGGTATTGTCGGAGAAGCTACATTGGCTGGCATATAGTGAAATACAAATGGCATCATGGTGGCAACAAGAGAACATTTACGAATGAAACGTAAAAGCAACATTGCAGTTGTAGTAATACTTCCTAAGAGTCATTTATCAATCTGAGTACTCAGCTGAAGTTATAACTACAACTAAAACTGTAAAAACACATTGTCAGTACTGTTTATTTCTCCTTCTCTGTCTCTAAACAAAAAAAATACAAAAATAATGGGCTGCCATTGATCTGATTAAAAAAGATGGGAGGTTAAAATGGCCTAAAATTATAGCTTCAAAGTGCCCCTAGAAGAAAATGCTACTTAAAAACACTGACAAAATTCCAATCCCTGCCTGATGTTATTTGATTATACCTTTCACTTTT